TTCTAGCATAGCAGAGTATCTGGACTTCAGCCGGATAGCTTTTAAAAGAGACACTTGCGTGCTTGTGTGCCTGTACGCCTTGCGAGGGTTCACACGCCCAAGTTACATCTCAAGGGGGGGGGGGGGTGGCAGTGACCCCCATGAGGCTTTCGCATCGGACGCTAGGTTACGGAGAACTATCGGTTTTTGCCTGTGATTTGCAGCGACTCAACCAGGACAGAAACAAGAGGCACACCTGAAGCCCGCAGCCCACAGCTTAAAACAGATCCCAAATCCCTAGCTTCATTCGCAACGGCACGGATGAAGCCTGGTCTTAAGGAACCTATGGTGGCCCCTCTTTGCGAAAACTCCATTAATCAATAGTGAATGCCGCATCTACCCTTCACGCACTACGTCTCTCGCCCGCTCCAGGCATGTTCCTCTTCGACATTGATGCTCTTTGCTGCGGCGACTGGCGCCTGCGACAGCTGCAGGAGCCACATTTAGCATCACATGGGACAGCCTCGGCCTCGGCCTCTTCCGGCAAACCCAGCCCCGCAGACTCTGCAACCTAGCACCACATGTGCGGGATTCTGCCAACAAACATGACATGTCAGTGGCTGCAAATGGCTATTGCACTGACACCTCGACCGCTCTTGTCAGGACATCGAAGATGCACTCCTCTGTTGCGTGTTCACTTGCGAGTGCTTCTAGGCCTGAGGCAGAAGCTTCGGCAGCAAAATGAAACAGCAATAGAATAGGAAGTAAGGCTGTCACCTAGTTGTACAGCCTCTGCAGCAGGACCACGCAGCCTCGGCAAGCCAGCATGACCCTGCACAGTCACCGGCGGCAGATGTCCACCTCTCCAAGACGAAGGCTGGACGGCCTGCGAAGTCTACGATGTCCTACGACTGCATGGGCTCATCGCACGAAAAGAAGCTGCACAGCATCATGTCATGGCGCGTGCCTTGTGCAGGGTATGTCGTTGGCAAGTTGACCCGGACATCACCGAGGGGATTCGGACAACGTACTCTGAAGGATGCGCCTGCAGCTAATCCTGCAGCTTTACCACAGTTCCGATATCTTTCGATGTCCGGTCTGGTCTCTGATCACTCTTGGCTTCGAGGGATCCTTCCTCCGGTTCTTGGAGCAGCTCAAACTCTCCATCTTCAGCATAGATTGCCTCCAAAATTAGCAAACTGCAGGAGGGGACAGAGCACTGTTTCAGAGGTGTTTTTTCGGCTTGCAATGGCTAACTTGCATACCGTCGGGCCACTGCTCGGCCTGCAAAGCTTCAATCTCTGCGGCTTGTCGACGAGCCGAGTCTGCATCCATGTGGGTTCGGCACGGCCCATACAGTAGGAGGTATGTCAGGTATGTCCTGTCTGCAACCACACCGACTACACCGTAGCAGTAACGGGTTGTGACAAGCCATCTGGTAGCTGCCGGCTGGGCTTCAGCAACGTAGAAGGCACTCAAGTGCCGAAGGTGTGCAACGCAGTCTCCCGGAGTCCATCTGCGTGTGTGCTATGTAGCATCATTATAGCCTGTCTTGCTGAGTGCGTCTTCACCAGCTGCTGAACATGCTACCTCAGCATTCCGCAGCCACCGCTGCTTGCAGCCGAAATGCCAGCAGTAAGCAAAACTTTGACGAACAAATTTTACACAAACCACAGAAGCTCGAACGTGGTTCACAGCAGCAGCATTTCGACAAACAAACAACCAACCTTCCTTCTAGAAGGTTCTACAGTTTCCGAATACACACCGCTGAGCCAATACATCGAACACACACACACACAGAGACAGACATA